CTCAGGAACCGCGGAAGTAGACGTGACCCTGTCCACTGCCAAGATCCGGGCCCCGTCTTCTGAAGTTGTCGTAGATTCTTCTTCTGGAAAAGGGGACGATATGGGTAAAGCAAAAAGTTCTCTATTTAGAATGCCTAAGGTTTCTCTTTCTAAAATTTCTAAACCTCAGGCAACGAGCAAACCTGGAGCTGAAGTTTCTGTGTCAGAAAGTCTTTGTTATTCTGTAACAGAGGAAACTCCTGCTGTTTTTTCAGGCAGTGTTGGATCTGGAGATCTTCCTGATAATAAGGGTGATAGTGGCTCAAAAAGTTCTAAATTCAGAATTCCTAGCTTGGGTTTCTCTAAAGTTGATATTAGTTCTTCTAAAGTATCTCTTGATTCTCCTTTACCAAAAGGGGATATTACTCTTACTAAATATCAGGTTAATGTTGCAGAATCTGAATCAAAAATATCTTCTTTCGTTGATGAAAATCTTTCAGGAACAGATTTTGAAATTTTAAATGGAGATGGTTCTTTTGAGCAAGTGAGTCTGAAGCCAGCAGGTAGAACTGTAGCTCCTGATGTATCTCTGGGTGATTCAGAAGTTACCATTAAAATTCCTAAATTCCGAAAACCAAAATTTGGTCTCTCTTGGTCTAAGGAAAAACCAATAGAATGTGACATTGTTTCCAAAGTGCAGTGTGAAATTTCCAAGGGCAGTATAACATCTTATTTGACTGATACTAATACTGAAAAACCAACTCAGATCCCTGATGCTGAATTAGGTATAGAGATGCACAAGCCTTCACCTGATGTTGTGCTGGGTGCACCAAAGTGGGATGACAGTCTTCCATCAATGGAAGGTACCATGCCAAAATTAGAAGTGGATATCCATGGCCCAGATTTAGAGTGCCAGGCAGAACAGGAAGTAGTCTCAGGAGAGAAGGACACTGATGAAAAAGAAAACAAATTTAAAACATCCAAGTTCAAACTGCCTTCATTTAGCTGGTCACCAAAGAAAGAGTCTGCTGGTCCTTCTGAAGCTGAGGGACATCTGGAAAAACCCATTTTGCCTACTTTATCTGGAGACACAGTATCTGAATTAACATTTCCTGCCTCTGAGAATCATCATCTTCAGGTGGAATTAGATACATCAACAGAACAAGACGGTGAAAAGGGCAGAAACAAGAAGTCCCAATTTATCATGCCAAAGATCTCATTCCCTAAAATAAAGGGTCAGAAAGTCCAGGTCTCTCTGCCTATATTGGAAACTGATGTTTGTGGTCCCAAACAGGAAAAAGAAGGTGTTACAGTACAGAAATCTGAGAAAGAGAGTAGTGGAGAAGGGGCAGGAATGGTCACAAAAATGCCAAAAGTTACAATCCCAACTTTGGAATTTTCCAAACCAGATGTCAGAGCTCCCAAAATAGACGTGGATATTAGTATGTCTAAAGGTGAGGTCATACTCCCTACATGTGAAGACAATGACTTGACATTGAAACCAGCTTCTGCTAATGCCAGCCTCTCCATCTCAGATATTAAGATGTTAACTGAAGGCTCCCTTGAGGTGAAGAGTCCTGACACAAGTGTTGAAAGAACATCAAGTGAAATCACTGTGGGTGATGCAGAAATTAACATTGGAGGTCCTGAAGGGAAAATAAAAATGTCTAAATTCCAAATGCCAAAGTTTGGAATTGCTCATTCTAAAGGGAAAGGATTAGAAAAGGAGGTCAGCCAATCCAAATCAGAAGTCAAGGTTCCCCAGCTAAAAGCAACAGTAGAAATAGCTGACATTGCTGTTGAAGCACCAAATTTGGAGGTGGAATATGATTATAGAAAAGAACCTCACAGCCCTAAAGTCAAAATTACCAAAGCTGACAATAAGGGATTAGAGACTGATGTTCACCTCCCATCAAGTGACATTTCTATTCTAAAAACAGACAGTGATATTCAGGATTTAGATGCAGCACTAAAAATCAAAGGGGAAATAAAGGGAAATGGAGATGGAGAAGAGAAGGAAGGACATTTCAAAATGCCAAAATTCAAACTTCCATCCTTCAGCTGGTCACCAAAGAAGGAAGCAAGTGTTAAATCAGATTCTAAAGCAAATTCTGAAGACCATAAACCTCCTATAATGTCAGACAGAATAGACACAGAAGTGAGAAGAACTGCAACTGATGATCAAGGTACTGGGCCAGCCCTTGATCTGGAAATATCTGCAGAGAAAGTTGAACAAAAAAGTCCAATTAAAAAGCCTCAATTTGTCATGCCTAAAATTTCACTCTCCAAGATCAAGGTTCCCAAATCGCAGACACATTCACCAAAAGCTGAAGTTGATGCTACTATTCCTAAAACAGAAAGAGAGGGTCATGATTCCATACAGATACCTGATATGGAAATAAGTAGTTCTGAAAGAACAGGGGAAGGGGCCCAAATAAGCATAAAGCTGGCTGATGTTAAGATCCCCACTCTGGAGTTTTCCAAAATAGAAACTAAAGCCTCCAAAACTGATCTGGGAGTCAGCTCGGCAAAGACTGCTGCTGCTCTGCCCGCCTCAGAGGGCGGTTTTCAACAGGTTGTCCTAAAACCAAGTTCTACCGATGAAGTTACCATTCAAAAAACAGAAATTAAGCTCCCGAAAGGAGAAGCTTCAATTGAACTGAGAAGCCCTGGAATAGTAACAGAAAAATCATCAGTTGTGGATGGAAGGAAGATTAAATTGGAAGGTCCTGAAGAGAAAAGTAAAATACCCAAATTCGAGAAGCCAGAGTTTGGAATCTCCCTGACAAAAGGGAAATGTCTGGAGACAGAGATCAGTCCACCAAAAATAGAAGCTGAACTACCCCAGATAAAAATGACAAATGAAATTGCTGACATTGCTGTGGGAGTTCCAGCATCAGAACTTACATCTGATATGTCAGATCTTGGAGTAGGTGTTCATGCTTGTAAGATAAAAACATCCCAAGTTCCAACAGCTGCCACTGGAGATGCAAAGGAAGATATAAGCCCCCAGTCAATGTCTAAACCAATGACAGAGGGAATTATTGAGAGCCTTGAGAAGAAAGAAGTAAAATTAAAAGAAGAACATGAAATAAAAGCTGAAGAAGTTCATCCTGAGGAACATCAGGGATGGTTTAAAATGCCAAAATTCAGAATACCTTCATTTGGCAGGACATCCTTAAAAGAAAAAAAAGGTGATGCTGATAATGAAAGAAGTCTGGAAAAAACTCAGTCAGGCATTCCCTCTGCCAAAGTACAAACTGAAACAGGTATTCCTGAAAATACCTCCTCATTACCACACGCAGTTGCTAAAATTACCATTGGAAAAGAAGGGATTTCAAAATTAGGAGATTCTGTGAAGAGTTCTGATGTTAGCCTGCCTAAAATGGAAGGAGATATTTCATTAACTGTTGAAAGAACAGACAGTAGAGTGAATATTCAAAAAACTGAAACTTACACAGATGTAGTTAAGCACAGTGCTGAAGGACAAAAAATACATACTTCAGAGTTCACAGTGTCTTCAGTGGAATTGCCTAGATCACACCTAAGTGCTTCAGATGTTGACAAAGATAACAGTTTAACAAATAGATTTCCTGTGTGTAGTCTGACTCTTGAAGGGCATGAAGTCAAATCACAGGATATGGAAGTCTCAAAGGTAGAAAGTTCCACAAAGTTACAGACTTTAGGAGCAGGATGTAAACCACTATCTGCTGAAATTACTCTGGATGCAACACAGGAGAAAACAGATACCAGTCTTCCAAAGGAAGAGCTAGATGTCCAAAATCAAGAGGCTAAAAAAGGAAAGAAAAAGGGTGAGATGAAAGTTACAGAAAAAGACAGTGAAGGTAGCCAGTTTAAAAGGCCTACGTGTGAATGGTCTCCAACAAAGGGATCAGAAGACAGTGCTTATGTTACAGCTAAGCTGGGAGATGTAAAGGTAGAAGTCCCAGGAGTGAAAATGGATGTTAAAATTGCAAGAGTAGATCCCGAAATGAAATTTCAAGTGAAAAGAGTTGAAAAGGACATGTCTGAAGTGGTGGAAGCGCAAGTAGAAGATAGAGCAGAAATAAGTAAAATTAAACCATACAAGTTTAAGATTCCAAAGTTCAGAGTGTTGCATTCAGAAGCAAAGGGGCTTGAGGATGATAAACATTTGCCAAAGTCAGAAGCTGATTCAATATCTAAAACTGAAATGGCCACGGCAGAAATGCAGATTCAAAAATCAGAGGGATCCACTGTCCAGAGAAGTCCTGTTCTAGATCATATGGAAGCACCTGCCAGAATACTAGCAGAAACAGTGGACAAATCACAAGATGGACCGGAAGTAAATATAAAAATTCCAAAACTAAAAATACCAAGTTTCACTTTCAGAGTTCTCCCAATTGAAGCTGATGTTTCAGTGTCAAAAGTGGTAACAGATCCAAAGGGATCCAGTACTGACATTGAAGTAGTACAACTGCGAGAAGGCTCTGCAAGATCTGAAGGAACATCAGAGGCTCTAGAGAGTGGTATTCAAAAAGCAAAAAGCAAATTTCTAACACTGACTGAACCTGACATTAAAACAGCACATATGACTACTACTATAAAGTCCTCCCTTTCAAATGCAGGGCAAGACATTCATTGGTCATTTGAAGAGGGTCAAGAAGTGAGTGAGGAAGTTGAACCTGAACATGTTGCTATTGAAAGGTGTGAGATTTATACCACTGAGATACTGAAAGAATCAGAGATTCTCTCACCAGAAGTCAAAACTGCCACTTTGGGGTTCTCGTTGCTCAAGGCGAAGTTGCCTGAATCTCAAAGCAACTTAGAAGTCCTAGTTCAGCAGCCATCTCCTACAGAATATGAATCAGTGAGCAAGGCAAAATGTGCTGATGAAAGCTTCAGAGTAGAAACACAGAGGACCAGCAGTGCTGAGCTTAAACTATCTGACAAGCCACACAGTGAGACTGAAGCATCCAGTGGAGAAGTAAGCTTGCCAAAGTTAAAAACATTTGCTGTAGAAGTAAAGCCTTCCATTAAACCTGAAGAGAGTCATCCTGATATGTCACTAGAGAGAATAACTACAGATCCTCTCTCTAAAGATAAGGATGCAGCTGAAGCACTAGAAGATGAAGAAAAAGACACATCCAATGAAAAAGAAAAGACTGATAGTAAAAGATCTCCTGGAAGATTCAAATTTTGGCTTCCAAGTATTGGGTTTTCATCTTCTGGTGAGGAAACAACCACAGATTCAAGAACAGAAGTAAAAAAATCAGTTCCAGAAGATATGAAATCCCCTGACACATCAGATAATGATTCTTCTAAACAAACTGAGAAAACTGGATGGTTTAGATTTCCTAAGCTTGGTTTCACATCTCCTTCCAAAAAGGTTAAGACTGTTGAAAAAGAAGAGATGGGTCATAAAGAGGAAAGAATCTCAGATGAAGATAGCCCATCAGATAAACCTGATATATTTTTTGATGCACAAGAAAGCTTATCACCTAAAGAAACAACAGAAGGTGAAAAAGTTGAAATTTATCAAGTCTCTTCTAATGTTGCAGTTTCTCGAGCTATTGTGACATCTTCAGCAAGAACTGAACTGATCTTGTTGGAAGAAGAAAAAGACAGCCAATCTAATCTTCCTGGAGACTCAACTAAATGAAGATTGCCTGTTCTTAACCCTCAATGAATACAAAATAATCCACATGTACAGAAAAAAAAAAAAAAGTTTTATTAATTCTCTAGTAACTGAAAATTAAAGAATTTTAATTTATGAAAACAGCTGAATGGAATATACCACATTTAAACTTTCAAGTACATGGGTGTGCTATACCATGTAGTAATTAAAAAAATCATGTCATCAAATCTGCCCCAAAGGCATCAATTTCTACAGGTGCAGGGGAGCCCATAGTTTTAGCAGAGTCTGAGAAGATACCTGGCACCATGAAAGCAAACTATTGAAAGGCTCAATGATAGCAAAAAGACTTGTTAGATAGACTTCTCAAATCACAGCAATTATGTTTAGATTATAGGTTATTTCCAGAACTAGTATGAACTAGTACTATGAGAATTATAGTTACCTGTTTAGATTTTGGACCTTTCTGACCTACTTTTGTTTTCTTATGAAAATATTTTTCTTTATTTCAGCTAAGGCAATATGTATATTCCACAAACATTTTACAATGCAAAATAAAAATTAGATACTAGTGTGTAGAGACTAATGCTTTACCCTTTCCTCTCTTCCCATTTTTTTTATTATTCTGGTGGGTTGTATTTAGCCTTAAAAAAATTTTAAAAGCCCAACAGAATAAATTCAAGACCAAAAACCGTATCACTAATTCACATTTTTAAGTTACCAAAATAAAACATGCTGACAATGAATAAATATTAAAATGTGGATAAATTAATTTTAGTGTATATATTTACTGGATTGTTAAATGCACAGCAGGATCTGCCACGTTAGTGGAATTGCTTCAAAGATTTTTTGGGAAAGATGTATATAATTATTTACTTCTTTGTTTATATTAAAGCTTCTCTCAAGTGCACAACAAAAAACTGAGTGTGTATGTGACAGCCATCACATGTATCATTAAAACACTGTCTGTATTCTTAAATCACAATAAACTCACCATATGAATTATAACTTCAGTCGTGTGAATTACTAACAGTGCTATACCAAAAGGATGCAGACAGGCTGGAGAGGGTTCAGAGAAGGGCCACAAAGATGATCAGAGGACTGGAGGACCTGCCATATGAGGAGAGACTGAGAAAACTGGGTTTGTTCAGCCTTGAGAAGAGAAAGCTTCGGGGAGACCTTATTAGCATCTTCCAGTACTTAAAGGGTGGCTACCAAGAGGATGGAGGTTCCCTGTTTACAAAGGGTCACATGGAAAAGACAAGGAGTAATGGGCACATCCTGGGGAGATTCCAGTTGGACACAAAAGGCAAATATTTCACCATGAAGACAGTCAAACATTGGAATGGTCTCCCAAGGGAAGTGGTAGATTCCCCCACATTGGACAGTTTTAAGTCTCAGCTTGATAGGGTGCTAAGCCATCTCATATAAATTATAGTAGTACCTAGAAATGTTGGACCAGGTGATCCTTGAGGTCCTTTCCAACCTGGCATGGCTGAGAATTTTCACTCATTACAAACCTGAGTTTCATAAAATTGGATGTGCAGACATTCTTCCTTACAGTAGTTTTATCACTCTGTATTTTCTTTCTCCATATTCTACTTTGTACAGGTAAAGCAGACACAGCAAAATATTTAGAAATGAAGTGTACTGGGATGTCTAACCACCTGTAACAAGATTATCTTAATTTCTGTATCTTTGCAGTAGGCTTAAAGATTCTAAAGAGTTGGCAGTTATTATCTAGGTAACTCTGATGATCTCTGAAGGGATTGTTCACATAAATGTTAGGCACGTATCATTTATTTCGATCATGGAGTGTTTCCCTGAAGTTCCCCTAAGTTTAGAATCCATTGTTCTGTAGATGCAAAATTACCCTATTAGACAGTAATAGCATATACCAGGACTGAGGAAAATGTTTTGATCAAGACAGATAAATGGAATCCAGAAAAAGGTAGTGTATGTAGTAAGTGACATCCCATTCCAACAATAGTTCACATCTACCTGCAAAGCTCCCTTCAAACAGAGTATTTCTCAGGTAGTGTCTGTTTACTTAGGCCCATAAACAGAAATCCACTTTGACAGCACTGAACAAAATAGTGAAAGAATCAAGACAATTTAAATTGAGCTCTGAGACAACAATGACCATAGAGCAATAATCACTATGATGTTTTTAAAGGATGAATGAAATTGTTGAGGGAAGAGAACTAGAGGAAAAAAAAAGCAGCAATAAAATCTTCCTCCAAATAGGCTACTGCTAGCTTCAGGAAACCAGCAGGGGTGTTGGGAATGGTCTCCCAAGGGAAGTGGTAGATTCCCCCACATTGGACAGTTTTAAGTCTCAGCTTGATAGGGTGCTAAGCCATCTCATATAAATTATAGTAGTACCTAGAAATGTTGGACCAGGTGATCCTTGAGGTCCTTTCCAACCTGGCATGGCTGAGAATTTTCACTCATTACAAACCTGAGTTTCATAAAATTGGATGTGCAGACATTCTTCCTTACAGTAGTTTTATCACTCTGTATTTTCTTTCTCCATATTCTACTTTGTACAGGTAAAGCAGACACAGCAAAATATTTAGAAATGAAGTGTACTGGGATGTCTAACCACCTGTAACAAGATTATCTTAATTTCTGTATCTTTGCAGTAGGCTTAAAGATTCTAAAGAGTTGGCAGTTATTATCTAGGTAACTCTGATGATCTCTGAAGGGATTGTTCACATAAATGTTAGGCACGTATCATTTATTTCGATCATGGAGTGTTTCCCTGAAGTTCCCCTAAGTTTAGAATCCATTGTTCTGTAGATGCAAAATTACCCTATTAGACAGTAATAGCATATACCAGGACTGAGGAAAATGTTTTGATCAAGACAGATAAATGGAATCCAGAAAAAGGTAGTGTATGTAGTAAGTGACATCCCATTCCAACAATAGTTCACATCTACCTGCAAAGCTCCCTTCAAACAGAGTATTTCTCAGGTAGTGTCTGTTTACTTAGGCCCATAAACAGAAATCCACTTTGACAGCACTGAACAAAATAGTGAAAGAATCAAGACAATTTAAATTGAGCTCTGAGACAACAATGACCATAGAGCAATAATCACTATGATGTTTTTAAAGGATGAATGAAATTGTTGAGGGAAGAGAACTAGAGGAAAAAAAAAGCAGCAATAAAATCTTCCTCCAAATAGGCTACTGCTAGCTTCAGGAAACCAGCAGGGGTGTTGGACAATGATCTTGAGAGGTCCCTTCCAACCTATATGATTCTATGATTCTACAATTCAAAAGGGTTCAAGGAGCACAGGCACAAACCTACACAACAGAGATGTTTTGTCAGCAGGCTGATTCTGACCCCCACCTTCATATTTAGTTTGAGATGCTCAGGTTGCTCTTTTAACTGTGGTAGTTTGGTAGGTTTCCTTCAGTACTTCTACTTATTTTTCAACATCTGGAAAACTGGTGCAGCTAAACACCTATGTATGGTCTCCAGCCAAATAACCCTACAACTGTGATTCAACATCCGAAAGAAGGTATAAATGTATAAAGAAGACAGACACTCCCACCCAGGTAATTTCTCACGTTGTTAAGACCTGAATGCATCTCTATTGGCTGGCTATTTTTTGGTGATATTTGAAGCAGGACATCTCATGTATTCCAAACACAAGGCAGCCAAAAGTAATCCTGAATGGGATAATACAAAGGAGAGAAGAGGGCATGGAGAGAGAGGGGAGGGGGAAGGGAGACGGGAGGGAGAAGGGAGGGGAGGGGAGGGGAG